GTAGACATGTGGGGGCGTGTTAGAACGAGCCGTTTTAGGTTGACTCTTAACTTTTATAAAGAATATCTCTTTGGATTTGAGACTTTAGTCTTTGCAACTTTACAGATCTTCTTTATGCACCAAGAGCTTGTAACACTCCAAAGAGAAAGGAAAAATTGAAATCGCATCATATGACCCCTTTAACATTAGGAATATGATTTGGAGTTTAATTTTCAGATATTTTTTCAGTATAGTCCTATGTAATGTTAAATTAAAATGCCTTCAGCCAAGTGGCTCTGTTGAAAATGAATGAATTACATATGTTGTAAATAGTTGTTTTATATTTTAGTTTCAAAAACCTAGTTTTTTTTTTTTAATTCAAGGGTATTTTTCTTTCAATTTTAGGGCCAGGGCCAACATTTCAGCCCAAAACAATAGTTAGAATAATGTTTTTGCTGTTTCATGAATGCTTGTTTTGTGTTCCACAGTTGTTGTACATTTTGAAAGGTTCCAAACGAGACAACTTACCAAACTATTTTCACCAAACTTTTAAATTATCTGCATATTTTTCATGTATTCACAAAAATTAACGTTTAATAGCTTTTTGAGACTTCAGGGTATGTTCTTGACTTTCAGAAATTGACTTTCAAAAATAAACCTGAGAAATATTCACTAGAGTAAAATGTGTGGCAACTAGCACCGATTGACCTCCCATTTATGAATCTTTGAGTTATTCCTGTCACTCTTATGGTTTATGCTACCATAGTCCTCCATAATTTTGGTCTAGACCATAACATTAGCCACACATAGTCCCAAGTGGCCAAGTCTCATGCAAATATAGCCCCTCTGTGAGCATCATTACATATTCCAGACAAATACTTTGCATTCACTGCTTTTACAGAGTTTCTGAAGCAGGGCGAACCAGCGTGCCCTCATTAAAATGAATACGGCCGAAAGCCTTTTATCCTCGTGGGAAATAAACCGAGCGCGCGAGTCAAATTCACTTTGCCGCACCACCCACAGGAGGAGCGCGCGCCCAATTGAATCAACGTTCGCCGCCGCTTTTGGAAGCGACGTTCACTTAAGTCCCCGTGGGTACGCCGCTCATTTCTCTCTGTCTTACTCTACATACCCACTAGTCCACATCTGAAAGGTACAGACCCCTAAAGAGGAGAAGAAAACGAAGGGAGGGTAAAGGAGAGACTGCAGTTGGTGCATGGCATGAAGACGCGAATGTTGGGGACCCGGCTGAGCATGGCACATTATACCAGGATCTGAACTGAAACGGGGACCTGGTTTGGGCTCTTAGATATGGGTGTTATATTAATAAGAAACCCTTGAGCTTGCAGGAGTAAAGGGTTAGAAATGCGCTTGATGTCGTTCGGTGTGACGCTTTTGGATGCGCAATTCTGGATGGGATGAAATCGCGTAACCGGGGGCCAAATCTAGGCGCTTAACGTGAGACCACCGACCTGAGCTTCCCAGAGCTGCGTTAAACCACATCTTCTGCCCCTCGGAGCCGTGCTGAGGGGACAACCACAGAAAGTTTCGCGATGGCTCTCGTCATGGAACCTGTTAGTAAATGGAGCCCCAGTCAAGTTGTGGATTGGATGAAAGGTACGTGATGCGTTTTGCTCCCTAAACCCGCAAAGTCGTTCTAATCTAATGGCGCAGTAGCCAAGGAAAAAGATTATTTGATATGTCAGATCATTTATAATCTAGTTGGGCATTCTTGATGTCTTTTTCCCAAGTAGTGAAGGGTACAGGTGTCTGATGTTAATAATGGCAATCAGGGTGTGAATTACTGTAGGCTATGTGTTGGGAGTCTGACCCTCAGTGCAACGACTTGAAGGAAGTCAAAACTAACGTCTTAAAAGTCAGCATTCCTTAACTTGTAACTATTTATAAGTTTGTGTTTCAATTAGCGTTTTCAGACAGCGGTCAGTATCCACAAAAGTTATTTTACAAGTTACTCGGAAAGCACTATATAGCCGCTAGCGAACCGACGTCCCGTTTGCCTCATGAAGAGGTAACCATAGCAACAGTTCGCTGCTCGAGCGCTTTCCGTTATGGTATGGTACGACAAAACACGATTAATGTAATTATTTCTCTCTTTATAATAGATTTTAACAAATGTATAAGCTTTTTGTTTCAAATGTCTTTAAAATAGTTGACGGTTAGCTAGGGACACTAGTTAGAAACGTCGACAGAAAATTACTGACTGAAATTCCTTTAAAAAGTCAACCGCACTGAAAGCTATAGATTAATACATATCAAATCACATAATTCAGCCAACAAAAGATATTTAGCGACTTATCTACAATCATGAGAATTTAACGTTGTTATGGCACATCAAGAAGCTTTCACTCCGAATCGCTCGACACCAGCAGTAATGGGAGTGCTGGTCACAGAACATCAAAAACCACCTTTATCGTTATTAGATGATTTTATGGGGGTCCTTAAATGTGATGTGAAGCAGCTTCCTCATGTAGGCTATAGCTGAAGAAGAGAAGCAGAATCTTTGATGCGCGGAGGCGGAGGGGGCAATTACGCACCTTCTCTGCTCTCGTGGGCGTGGGCGGCGTGTCCAGATTCGTCATCACAATAACAAATCGAGCAGTGAGTTATCGAGGTTGTATGACAGGATTCGAGCGCGTCCCAGTGGGATAATGATTCACAGATCTGTGATATAAGGCTTGTTATCAGATAACAGACATAAAATTGTCCTTCATATTATGTCTTCGAGCGAATATGTAATGACGAAGTAGAAATATGCGAGAATTGCATTAGGCTTTCTGCATTTGCAAATAATGAAGGTTATGAAAGCAGCATATTGTGCTACTTTATTCGTTTTTTTTGCACTGGTTCACTGGAAACCTCGGATGAACTAGGCCTACTATAGACTTTGGGGAGTAACATCCCCCTATAGGGCCTATTCATATTACTGACACAGAGTTTGATTCTAAAATGAATACATTTGGTCCCCCAATCCTGAATATGTGGTCAAAGCTTTTATCCTCTCATTAAATGATGGATTTTTGCTTGTGCATGTGTACTAGAATTATGCAGTGTTTGTGTCTTGTCATTTGTGCGTCAATGTGAGCGTCTGTGAGGAACAGCTGAGAGACTAACCATCAGAGCAGGACTGTAAAGAAGGGATATTTGCCCTCATTTTGGATTCAAACTGTTGTGTGTACCACATTAGCGGACTGTAATTACATTTATTGTTGTGCTCTCTATCAATTTGTCTCATCATTCATCCATTCAGGCTTGTACTTATTAGCTATAATATCTACATAGACCTAGTGGCTTGATACTGACCCTCATTTACTGTCCCAATTACAAGCACATAACCTGCAAAAGATAGAGCTGCTAGAGTATTTTACCTGCTTGTGAAGAGCAGATTAATTTAATAGCGCAGCTAATGCAGCTTACAGAGAGACAGGATGTAGCTGAATCATTCTGGTTCAGGCTGAATTGAAGTGGAGGCCTATGTGTGTGTGTTGGAGGGGTACATATGTACATGAGCTTTAGGTCAAACTGCATCTGTGACTTATAGCAAATCTATTTTTCAGATTGTGACTCAGAGAGTCAGTGAGTGTTTTGAACGATGCCTGTACATGCTGCGCACACCCCCAGGCCTACACATTACACTCAGCACACCCCCTCTATGGCCCTCTCTAAATGCCATTTTTAAAGTCTCGCTAATGCTGGAATGGTGTATTGGTGCTGCCTGGAGTGGCACAAACTCATTTACTTCAGAATCAGCAAAACATTTGGAAGAGACCACTGAACGGTGGGAGGGATGTCACAAACAGCTTTGTCTGTTCTCGACGACACTTTAAAGTGATCATGTGGACACGAGACCAATTTTGTCCATCTTGCAGAGCCAGAAATGATATCCAGCACTTGAAAACAAAAATCAGACTTTAGGCCAGTTCACACCAAGAACGATAACTATAAAGTAGGGCTGTCAAACGATTAATCGCGATTAATCACATCCAAAATGAAAGTTTGTGTTTACATGTGTGTGTACTTTGTACATTTATTATGCATATATAGCTTAAATACACACATGCATGTATATATTTAAAGATAAATGTTATATTTACATATAAATTATAAATAACTATAAACGAACGACATGTAGGTGAGTAAATGATGACAGAATTTAAATTTAAATTAAATATACATTTCAGACATATAGTATGGATTTTGGTCGAACTATATGGCTTCAGAAGTCTTGCCGAGAAGAGAGTGGCGTGTATTTGATTAGCCTGAGATGTGGAAGCTGTCTGGGGTAATTGAGATCAGACTGTGATTAATATGCATTTAATAAGAGGTGTGGAGCTGAAAGAACAGAGACGGAGAAGGGTCGTGAAAATGAAGATGCAAGCAAGTGAGACGTAGTGCTAGGACTGATTATTGTTAAATGGAGGATTCCTAAGACTTGCATTTTTAATGCTCTTTAATGAATATATTACTTTTCTATGTTTAATTGTTGTGGTTTCTCAGAGCCATGCTGGGCTTTTTAATAAACAGTGGTTAGGAAAGATGAGGCTGAGGATACAGCAGGACATTTAATGGTACATCAGCCTGTACCCTGGAGACTTACAAGATTTAACAGAATGATTTTCTCTGTTCTTAAATAGCATGGCCTCAGTGTCTTGGTTAAAAGGTTACTATCAGCAGATGTCGCAAACCAATAAATGACAATGTGTTTGCTTCGGTGTGCGACTGTTTGCAAGAGCTGCACAGTTTGGTCAGAAAGATGTCAGATATTGTGTTTGTGATTTAAACAGCAATATTGTAAACCTATTGCTGATGCTTACATAATCAAAATCATATATAATTTTAATTAAAAAATAATTGCAAATAATAATATAAATTATATAATACATAATTATAATACATTTTTTAATTTTGAGAATTATTCATCACACCATGCTGTTTTGACTAGAAAGATGACAGAAAGATTTAAGTTAACTTAAGAAATATTTATTTAAATATGATAAAATATTAAAAAAACGTAAAATCTATTAACAAATGTGGATAATGTATTATTTTATTATTATTAATATTATAATAATAATTATTATTTTAACTGTACAAATATTTTAATATTTTGCTAAAATTCAGTAGTTTCATGTATTGAATGAAGTCTCATGTTCCACTGCTGAGCATTCGTGATGTTTTGCAATCATTGAAAACTTGAAGCACTTATTATGACATAATATCGCAATTTGCATAGAACAACTTAGAATTACTTAACCTAAATTTGTATATTTTTGTTATAATGATGACAGATTTTAGTTTATGGAAACATGACCTTTTAAGTTCAGTCAAGGCATTTCCTTGGAAATAATGAAGCCAGCTGTGGCCTTCATGTCCTCACTTTTTAAGGATCGAACACCTTTTTTTTTTTTTTTTAGTTTTTTCGGAATGCAACAGCTGGAAACACAGCTTTAGGGTGTCTGTGGGTGTGTATGACTGCTCCTTCCTCTTGATTAGCTTTCTGACCGCGGGGCTTTAGATCTAATCAAGTTCTGTCACATCACTGCAGCCTCACAAACTCTGATAGACAGCAAGTCTGCTCTTTCCATCGCTCTATCTCCAGTTCTTACTTTGTTTCTCCTTTTCTTGCTCTTTCCCATAAGTGCTATGTATAATCATCTCCTGTGGCTACCAGTGTGCATCACTTTCCATGAATACAGTATGCTTATTTAGTAAAAGCATCAGAGACACAAATCCCATATTTTTTATTTTTTTTGTAAGAAGTATTAGAAATGTTATGTAACATAAAATTTACCTAACATGAAGCTATGAGCAAAACTTTGGTGTTGACTGTACTCATCAAGCTCAACCACTAAATCCTGTTATCTAAATTATTGTTCGAAAAAAACTTTTTTCAGGCTCTTTTTTTATATGTCTCATGCCCTATTTGTAGAAAGCGCCATGTATCTGCTATGCTGGCCAACACATTCCAGAGAACAGAGAAGTAAACATCTCAGCCTCTGATTGAAGGCCCGCCTCTGATGCCAATGCCTCCATCTCTGTAAAGATTAGGGTGGAGCTCTTTGGCTGAACTAAAACCAGCCTCTGTGGTTTCCCAGTTAGACTGTGGTCCTGGTCTTGCTGTGCTTTTGTGGCTTGTGGTTTTACTGGGAGGCAGCAGTGCTTCAGATAGAGTCATTGAGGGAGTGTTCAATATAACCGACCGACGCTGGGAGCAGTGCACTAGAGCCTATAAATCTGCTGATGAACCATTCAAGTCCTGAATCAGTACCTACTGAGATATTTTGGTATCAAAATCAATTCGACTGCGAATTGTTCATCACACAGATGCAGTGATGAATAGATAAAATGACTGAGTCAGAGCTCTTTTATAGTTCATTAGACTCTGTTGTGTTCAGTTAAATATCAACTTTGTCTCAGATTTTCCTTTGGAGAAATAAAATAATATTTTTGTAATATATTATTGAATAATAATAATAATAAAATGATGTATTATTATTATATTTAAAGAAAATTAAATTAAACAGTTATCGAAATACCGTAAGTCTATAAATCTATGTGACAAAAATGTGAATAAAGTGAAAAAATGAAAAAAAGTCTGA